CAAGGAGGCTTTCTGTTCTCTTTTTAACTCTAAATCACCTAACTTCAGCGAAGTGAAAACCTTTGTCTACGCTTCTATGAAGATCCGATCTGTAAACACTAGAGAATACACTCTACCCCTCCCTCAGGATTAGTTTCTGAGCATGAACAGATATGCGGGAAAAAATTACGCCTGTGTTACTGGATGTCCGTGATTTACGGACATCCAGTAATTGCTGCTACCAGAGCGCTCCGTTTCGACGACCAAGTGACCAAAAGAAACGGAGACTCTGGGGACAAGGGTGCACGTGGCATGCGTGCGCATGTACTAATACCAAAATCCGCGAACTAGTTTGTTCGGCATAGCAGAAACCACCTTATTGAACTTGAACATTTGTAAATGTTAGCCTGGAGTAATTTGAACATTTTCCAAAAGGAAACCTGGAACACTATAAATGTGTGTCAGCATTATAAGCGCGACATCCTTCAGCATACATGCATTCGACACTGTCTTAAAACTTCTACAGCGTAAAAAAATAAAGTTTGCACCTCGATTCTTTTCAATCCTTTTTATTTTGCACAAGCACTTGCAAGTCACAACAAACACACGTTTGTGAAGATCGCTCAGTATTTAGCGGCAGAAGCGTCGAAGAAAGGTTAAGCAAAGACTTTTCAGCGGTTTTATACGTTTCAGCGTCCTCCAGAAGCGTCGAGTATGGTAGGTACGATTGGATTGAGTTTTGACACAGTTAAGTTTGGCAAAGTTTTAGTTTATCGATAGTAGCTAACTCGAATTAAATAGACAGCGAAATGGAAGCAGTGTGTAGCAAACGTGTAGCGAACTCGATTGGCAGCGAAACCGGCAAGCTACACAAATTTGCATATTTCGTACTAGTACAATTCTCCTTCGCTGTATTTTTGTCATTTTTCTTTCAGCGCGATAATCTCTCGCCAATATAATAGAATCTAAATAGTTTATTTTACTTTCCTTATATTTCACTATTGCTTTATTCGTTTTAAGTTTGTATAAATTGAGATATATTTCTTTGCTCAAAGAACGAAACCAGTGTGTGTGTAGAAGTGCTTTTTAGAAACCTGGCCGGATTATCGACCTCGTACGTGTGGCTGCTTGTATATGAAATCCACAAATACATAGCTAGACCAGAAGAAGCAAGCGAAGCGAGCGCGAAGCAGGCCAGAGTGGGGACGGGCAGGTGAGCGAAGTGAGCCAACAAGTCTCCCGTTTTGCGCTGGCGCCCAGTTCTCTCGCGATTCTACCGGTCGTTCAGTGATCGAATAAAAATACGAGAAAATAGAGAGCTGTGAACAGTCTAATGCATAGCTAGTTCAACGACAATCTTAATCACCTTATTGTAGGACAGGTTTTATTTACTATTTGTTCTGGAAAGTGTTTATTTCGAGAACTCGATCCGTATAATTTCCGCAATTTTTTGTCTGCGACTTGGGGGATCGTTTGAATTCACTAGTTAGAAGGCTATTTTTCTCTTATTTTGTATGTTGCCTTTGCTTGTACTTTTTTGTTATTCATTTGTAAAACACAAAGAAAAACGTCTAAAATGTGAACGAATTTGCAAGTTATTGAGTTTTTTATATTTTCCGCGCCCAGGCTGACGTAAGTAACCGGAAGTGAAATTTCACCTTCTTATTAGCAGCGCGCGCGAGCGCACGCACGAATCGGTTAATGGGCCCTCAAGGTCAACAACAATTAAAAAATAGAAAGTATAAAATGAAGCGACTCAATTGAAACAGTTTCTTCAATTGCACGACCTCAAAAGAATCAAACGAGATAACAAGACATCCTACTATACCAGGGTCGGGTTGTTCGAAAGCGGGTTAGCGCTAACCTAGGATTAAAAGTTAATCGAAGTATTACTTTTTTCGGTATAAAAATGTTTTTCTCTGCTTATGTTTTGTGTAGCTAGTTTGATATTGTTCAAATTTAAAACTGAAGAACAAACAATACAAATAGAAAACCTCACCGAAAAGTTATAAAACTGAAATCAAAATTCTCGTCAATCCTCGGTTAACTTAATCAGGCTTTGAACAACCCAGCCCAGTTGCATTAGTTGTACGAGTCGTACGAATTGACAAAGCCCATTCTCTAATGAGATGCAATTTCACCAGTTGCACGAATCGTACGAGTTGGCAAGGCCCCTTCCTTAATAGTGTGTTGAAATATTATAAGTGTCTATAGTGAATGCAAATTCACCAAATGCACGAGTTGTACGAGTGGTGCAAGTTGACCAGACCCCTACCTTAAACGTGAGTGAAATATTCTAAGTGTCTATAATGAGATACAGTTCACGGGTTGCACGGGTTGTGGGAGTGGTGCAAATTGACAAGGCCCCTACCTTAAACGTGGGTTGAAATATTCTAAGTGTCTGTAATCATTACGACTCTCATGATGAGATACAGTTCACCGGTTGCACGGGTTGTACGAGTGGTGTAAGTTGACAAGATCCCTACCTCAAACTTGGGCTGAAATACTCTAAGTGTCCTTACTACGATTATCAGTTGTGTAAAGCGCGACGGAGTTTCGATGAGAAAGTTTTGGCCTTAAAATTACGGTGTTGCCAAGGACAACTTTCCTCGTTTCCAATGGTAACAATATCGTCGCCTACGATTTGGCACGCTTTGTTGCTAATGAAATCAAAGGTCAACGTAACAACTAAGTTGCCACTGGAAACGGAGCCAGTTGCCCGTGACAACAACACGATTTAAACATTAAAACCTCCTTACCATACCAAACTTTCGTCGCGCCTTACTCAACTGATAATCATAGTAATGACATACAAAGTTCCAAGTAGTGCTTTTTTTTTTTATCTCAGTGGAAAGTACCACATTCATCACTTAAACCAATCGTACCAATTGTAAGCCTTATTTTACGACTTGTACGAGTCA